AAGAAAAAAATCAGAGTGGAGACGCAAGCCACCATTCCCTCTCTGGGAACCCGGCAGAGCACGTATGTGCTGGTTTATAAAAACATTTTGCTTTGCATTCAAAACCAACCGTAAGCACCGCGCTCCACAAACCTGCCCAGCCCAGAGTGCGATCGCGTCAGCCCATTGCCTCCGAGGAAGGTGCTGGGTGGGCAAAGGACGAAGCAGGGATAAGATAAATTGTTTTTTGTACCCCTTAGTGGCCGGACATCAATGCTGCAGCTTTGAAAGCTGTCTTTCCAAAAGCCATGAGGGGAAAAAAAAAAGCAGAGATTAGGATTGCAGCTATCCATGGGAGAGGAAATATGTTAAAAGGAAGCTTTTAATGAAGGAATGGATGAAAGACTTCCAACTACAGGAGATTAACGTCCTTATCTCATATATTCTTATTGCGACGTGGAAGGAAGGGGTGTGAGGGGAGAGCCCTGCTTCCAACGACCTGGAAACTCTCCGATACTAAGGATGAATTCAGTATATTTACTACACAGCGCAGCTTGTAACGATTCTCTTTGCATGCTTTCTTCTGGACTCTGAACATTTAAAAAAATCAGGTAAATCATACCACAGACCTAGATTTGCTGAATTGCCGGTTTTTTAAATGCCACGTGAAGTGGGCAGGACCCTTTCTGCAAAGCAACAAGCAGCAGCAGCAGCAGCATGCGCTTTCCAAACGCCACGCGAGGAAACCCACCAGTGCCCGGCTGGGGACGGTAACACCCACAGGTACGGGGTCACCCCCGTCCGGCTCAGCCCACCATCTGTGATCCAAGTGCCCACTTCACTTCCAAGCCATGCACAATCCCACCCGGGAGAACACAGCCAAAGTAAGGAGGGGCAGATTCATGGCAGGCACAGTCACCACTTTCCTGGATGCCCCTGTGTGAAAGAAGAAGAAAGCCAGGCCCATCTTCGCGACCCGCGCGGCGAGAGGTTGCCAGTCAGCAGCGTTTGCTGAGAAACCAGCAGACGCACGACGAAAAGTTGGAATTTACAAAAATACAGGGACAAACACCGTTTTGCTTAACGTGGTATTAGACAAGCAAAAAAAAAAAAAAGCAGAAGGCATCTAAAACCATCAGGAAAGCGGGCAGAAAGGGAGGAAACATTCTGGTCTGAACAGCAGCGTTTGTGGACCAGCCGCAGCTTTGAAGACATCAGCTGAAGACAGAAGGGTACAGGCCAATCTTCACCTACCACCAGGAACCTGCGCTCATCTCCCAGGACACAGGGACATCTCTCTCTGCCACAGGAGATGGTGGTGGCCGGAGCTAGAAAGCCGCGTGGGGAGAAGACTCTCCGCATCAAGAAAGTGTGACTTCTTCATAGGTAATATTAAAAATAGTAAGGCTGTCAGACGAGAGCAGGGCAGGCATGTTAAGATGTGGGGGAGCTAACAGAATAAGGAGATTAACGCCTAATTCCTCTCCTTGAGTCATTTCTGACTCCAGGGGAACCTCAGCATCTCTACATCAGGGCGCCAGGCATGAAAACAGGCTCATCAAATGCCTGACACCACCGGCCGCTCTCGTACTCAGAGAACTGTTCGTGGTTCTCTTCCCTTTTTAAGGCGAAGCAAGCTGGGCACCAGACACACCACGGCACTGCCACGGGAGGTCTGTCCCATTTACACGGTCACGGGCATTCTGGGGAGAGAAGGGAAAGCGCAAGGCTTCGGCAAGCACTGCACTCTTTTGTCCATCCTTACTGGTACTGCAAGCCCTACAACAGTAATTTACATACCGTGCAGTCACTTAAATGCTTGTTCTTTAGAAACCCTAAAAACAGAACTGTGCACGTCTCAAAATAATTCAAATGAATTAACGGAGAATATCTTTGAGAGGATAATTTGCCAACGCACCTTTTTTTAAAATGCATTTCCTCCTTTGGATTTAGAATTTTTATGTTTACGTTGCAGCAAAGGAGTCCTTCATAGCCTGCAGAACTGGAGCTACGACGCAGCGTCAGCTCCATGTACAAGTTACAGCTACTTTACATGAGGAAGATTCATGGCTTCTGCTCCCTAAAACAATTTTGGTGCTGTTTCAGCTTTTCACTACATACACACATATGTACAACACCAACTTATTTCCAGCCCGTGTCTTTGCATCCCCCCCACCACACCTATTAGCAATAGAGCAGCCGAGCAGACCTTGTGCACGCTGCTGCTGCCCAAGCAACAGTCGCTGGAATCTGGGGCGCAGTTGGGAACGGGGCTCTGAGGGGAGCCCTCCCCACCTCGGGTGTGCGCCCGCGTCGGGGCCAGCACCAGGGCTCGGGCCCCTGCTCTGCCCGTGGCGTACCGCACGTTCAGGCCGATGGTTATTAACCTGTTCACGGCCGGGAGAAGTGCGCCAAGGTCAAGGCTTTCTGCAAAGTCACGCACTCGCAGGAAGCAGAACCACAATGGTGCGAGGAGGGCACAAGAAGGGGCTTGGAGGAGGTTCCGACGTAGCCTTCAGAACAAAAATCAGAGTAGGAGGGGAACGGTTACACTTACGAGTGTCTTGTGTGACCGTCTGACTTCCCATTCGAGCATCTCAAAAAATGTTTACATCACCTACATTAAATGAAACGATTTTAGTTCTGAACGGTGTGATGAGTTTGTACAGCTCAGGAAAATTCTGCGCCTGTTACCTGCTCTGAATGTGGCTCGCTTATTGTCAACATCCATAAATACATATAGGAAACATTACTACATTTGTTACCAAAACACACTGCCAAGTTATCAAAACCGCCTCCTGGTAGTAACCTCCGGTACGGATTTCTAAAAGCCTCTCCGGTTAGCACCGGCGCAGCTTTGCTGGAAGAGCACCGAGAATGAAGATGTGAGTTTTCATGTTCATGTTACAGCCAGTAAACATAATCACTCTGATAAATTAATCACAGAATGTTTCCCAAAACGTGTATGTGTAATTTTGAAACATGCTTAAGGTCGCAAGCACTAAACATTTTTGGATCTTCCTTTTTCTGGGTAATCCTTAGCGCTACCATCGGCAATTTTGGTACATAAATCCAAGGAGATACACAGAGGAAACCCGACAAAAGAACCCTAACGCCCGGTCCTTTGCCCGCCCAGCAGTTACGAGAAGAACGGACGCTACCCGGAAAATGTCTGAACTGTGCTATGCACAAACAGCGTTGCTGTTACAGCAGTCGCCACACGGCACCAAACATTCACTCCCCAACGGGCAAAGTAGTTTAAGAAAAAGACAAACTAATTAGCTCTAGTTTCAAAGAAAAGGACAGGATGTGAAAATACAAAAAGAAAGGTATTCATAAAATTTAGCAACTTTAAGCTAATTCTTAGAAATAGCAGAGAATATTACATAAATGGCAAATATTACGCGGGTGTCTGGGTTTCTGGCGTGGCAGCTCAATGCTCTGCCACTCTTCCAGCACTGCACTGGGAGCAGGGGCAGCATTTCTGGAACCCCCGAGGCTTGGGCAAGCACCCTGGCGTCCTTCATCAACCATCTGCGATCAAGCGCTCACCGCGGTCTGTTCAGCCAAGGACTACGGGCAGCTGTGCAAAACCAGGCACAAGAACAGCTCTCAGCAGAAAGTTTCTGAACGTGAGAGGGGTGTTTTACCAGGGAAGAAGGCAGAGACAATTCCTCGGCTTTCCCCTCTCAAACAGCCTGGCAGCAGCACGTGAACCCCAGCGCTGTTCACGCAGCCATCCCAAGGAAAAACCTCACCGCCATCAGCCTGCAGAGGAGCGCCGCACAGCATTTCGTTTCCCTGCACCCAAAACCGCCTCATTTACATGTGCACACAGTAAAATTACAGTATACGGGGTTTTTTTAAATAAATAAATTTAAAAAAAGGTCTTGCAGAGGTCCCCCGCACCGCAGCTGATCCGGCCAGCCTGTCCAGCCTTTCTCCAGGTAGTGTGTGCTCTCTGCCTGGCAGGGGACGCTGTTACTGGAAATGATCTTTGCGCTTCGGGAAACCGGTGGGCAAGCAAAAAGCATGGCTGATTGTCCAGGAGAGTTTCTACTTGCTGGTGACAAAGTACGTGTTACGTAGGATGAGTACCACGGGCACGTCTCTCAGATCCGCTGCGCTAACCATCACGCTTACGAGCTTCCGGCATGGTTAGGTGGAGGAGCATTTTGCAAAATACTAAAATGCTGGATGCTGGCCTCAGCGGTTGGGAATCCCTCCCAACTACTCAGTGCAAACTATTTGGTGCAGAATCCATACAAGAAGTTGCAGTGAATTTCAGATCAACAGCCCAAACTGCCAGACTCCTGAAGGAGTGGCTACAGAGCCTGGGAGGGGAACCCGCTCAGAAGGCCTCCCCTCCGTCCCTTGCCCGCTCCTGTCACAGCTCATCCCCTTCCCGAGTTGTAACTTCTCTGGTCTAGCACGGAGCGCGGGTGTCTGCACCACTGAGGGGCAATGAGGCAAGGCAGGCGGGGCAGGGGACAGAAATCTCATCACAGGGGAAGAGGAATGGCGCTGCTCCCTGGGTTAAGAGCACTCATTACCTTCCCAGCCTGCAGCACTTCTCAGCAAACTTTGTATTGCTATGCAGCTCCTACCTGATTTTCTTTACGTCTTTAGTCCTCAAACTGGTTTGTTTCTGCCTAACTTTCTTTACAGTAAGAAACCCTTGTATTCCCTCTTTATTTCACCCCCTTCCCCCCTGCAACTTCCTATAAGCTCTTAGGAATACAAAATACACAGGGAAGTTGGAAAGTTCACAGTACGAATCACTGATACCACCTCTAAATGTCTACCACCAATATATATGTCCATATATGACGTTACCAAGGTCATGGCATTGAAATGGTATAAATAAATGGCTATTTCCTTCATCACAGTTTTGTGCCCATCATTACACACTCGCGTTCGCTTTCTGTTTATCTTTCTTTTCAAATATTGACATCAGTGTCGTTGAAGACAGATCCTCCCACATGCAGAAGAATAAACAAGCGATTAAAGAAAGTACTAACCTTCGCTGACGGGAGTCGCGCAGCCTTCAAGGTTCAACATTATATCTTCATCTCTGTCATCTGCACCAGCTCCCAAAAGCATCCAACTCTCGACATTATCACTTTCAGATATCAAGCTCTCCTCCTCCGAGCTGTCATCGATTACCAACACGTCTTGGATGGCGTGAGCTCCAGCAGAACTGACTGGGTTAAGCTTCCCACTGGTGCTTTTCCTTTGCCTTGAAATGCCTGTGCCTGATCCAGCAGGATACAGGGTATTACACCCAGCAGCTTCGGCATGATTTGGTGTGGAAAATCCTGGATGGATACGTGCTTTACCTTGAGCTAAAGAGCTTGTTGACTTCTTTACTTTGCTTTTGTAAACACTGTCTTCATCTGGTGTATCAGACAAGACGATGATCTCAGGGTCACCTGAAAACTGAGCACCATGATCAATGAATTCAGTGATTTTCTTGTCTTCATACCATTTCTCAGTTAGGATTGAACTATGACCCGCGACTCCTGCAACATCACCGTCTTCATCCATTTCCAGCGTGCTGATTTCTTCAAGATTTTGGGAATAGTGGATCTGGCTGTAGAGATGAAATTCCACCTCACTATCAACACTCTGCTCACTGGATGACTCCTCATGGTAAAGTTCATCTTCATACGCTTCAGTGTCCTCGGCGTCTTCGTAGCCGACAAACATTCTGGAAAGCGAATAGTCTGGATCTACAAAAAACCAAAAGGCTGCATTAGGATGGTCGTGAACGTATGCCCCAAGCCACCTTTCAAATGACACCTTTGGTCTTTCTGAAATTGCTTGGGTTAGTCGTAGAGCTCTGTGTACAGAAGATAAAACTGGGCAGACTTAACAGCTACATCAATCAATGCTCAACCTCAACTACTTTGGCTTCGGAAAGTTCCACTTAATGTGCTCTCAGCCTCCACAGCTCCTCTCTACCCTGGGTTCAAAGCCAGGGCACCTGCATGGATTGGGGGCCAAACAAGCGTCTGAATCCAAGTTTTGGTCATTCTGCCAACTAGTATTAATTCTGGGTACTCTGCAACTTGTTTCACGCAGTAACATCTCACATACATACGTGGAAGAGCAGGGAAGGAACACCCAGCAGTATCTGACAGAAGAAACGTGGAGCCTATCTACAGCTGGGCTGCTGAACTGGCACTGCAGAATTTAACCCGATGATGAGAAGCGCTAGGGCTACGGTAAAGAAGCACCCAGACACGCTCTGCACAAGCTCAGGTCTGAAGGTAGCATAAAAGGGAAGAGTAGCAGAGGTAGCCTTCATACAAACATGCAAAATCTTCAGCCTTCATACAAACTAGCATGTCACACCATCCCACCAGGACTTACAGAGTCACAATGCCATGAAAATGCAACTACAGTGCTCTTAGACCTAAAGAAGATATACCTGCAAACAGCGTCTGCCCAGCTCAGCATTAGCTGCGACATCTCTGAGCTGCTACCAGTTAAGCAGTAATTATCTACAACCTTTAATGGCCTTTTTGGTGGATCTAGGACTAACGCCCCAATTTCCCTTCTCATGTACTCAGCAAAAGTGCCTTTTAAACAAATACGCTCTAAGAGCTGGCTAATGGGACAACGGGCACCCTCAGCAAGTTTGCAGATGATGCAAAACTGGAAGGAGTGGTTGATACGTGCCGCCATTTGGAGGTGCGTCAGTGGGCAGAGAGGATCCTCATGAAGGTCAACAAAGGTAAATGCCAAGCCCTGCACCTGGGAAGGAGACAGGCTGTGGGCCCGCTGCCGGGAAGGCAGGTTTGCAGAAAGGGACCTGGGGATGGGACCAGCTGACCACAAGCCAATACACTTTTGGGACAAAAAACCATCCTGGGCTCCTGAAGAACATCGCCAGCAGGGTGAGGGAGGTTATCCTTCCGCTGTGGTCAGTGCTCACGGGACCACATCTGGAGTGCTGCGTACAGCTCTGGGCTCTCCAGCACTAGGAAAGATGGACATAACTGGAGCAAGTGCAGCGAAGGGCCATTAAAATTAGTAAGAGACTGTCATATATGTCATCTGAGGCGAGGCCGAGACAGCTGGGACCATTCAGCCTCAAGAAGAGGAGGCTCAGGGGGATCTTATGAATGTACATAAATACCTGATGGGAGGAAGAGTAAATAAGAGCCAGGCTGTTCCAAGTGGTGTCCAGCAACATGAAGAGGTGGCAGACACAAAAAATAAAATACAGGGAATTTCCTCTTAAGCATAAGAAAAAAACCTTTTTTATTCTCTTGCCCAGAAAGGCTGTGGAGCCTCCATCCTTGAAGATGTTCAAAACCCGGATGGACGTGGCCCTGAGCAAACTGCTCCAGGTCACCCTGCTCTGAGTCAAGGTGTTGGACGAGGCAATTGCCAGAGGTTCCTTCCAACCTCAACTGTCCTGTGACCCCAAACCACTGGCGAGCATCCCTGGAGTTCACTACCTACTCCCCAGCGAGACAGACAAGCCAGATACGTTCTGAAGTTACTTTGCCCGGTTCATGGGGTGCAGCACTTCGTTTACGTGACCACATCATGCATGGAGGCGAGGAAGGGGAACACTTTCTCTGAAGGCCCTATCTGCATTTCTGTGTTACAGCTACTCCTAGGGAAGCCAACAAGCCTTTTCAGACATGAAAACTGTCAGATGCAGTTCAGTTTTTTCTGTCTGGGGAGGAAGCTGCATGGTATTCTTTGAAGTCACATACTGATACACAAGTACAAAAATTTAGATTCGGGATCTGTGTACATTAAGTAATTTGTGCAATGATGGTATTTAAGGAACCCAAAGTCTCTTATTATGACAGCTTTCTGTGCACACCCTGCAAGAGTCCTTCCCTGATCATGACAGACTTGGCTTCATTTGTATTCCTGTTATACCAGAAGTCAAACTAAAGAGGAAAACACTCTTCCCAGAAAAATAAACAGAGCAAAACCACATAAAACGCGAGCACACAAGCAGGAAAATACAATGCCTACTGACAACCCATGCGCTGTATCCTCTTCTGTCCAGGCTTCCAGCAGATCAGCGTGCATCACTTGATCTCACCTGCGCAGCTAAAGAAGTCACTTTGGCCATCGCCAGCTGAGATCACATCCCGAGACCACCAGAGCCCCACTCATCCACGCACGTGCTCAGCCCCGCTGTGTCATAATACACTCAAGCTGGTTTCTAACCTACAAATGCAGTCCTAAAACTTAACCAGTGGAGGTTATAGAATCTGATTTGAGAGCTTTCCTGTCCACACGACGCCTACAACCTCCTGGAACATTTTACACCTGCCAACACAGAACTCTGCTCAGCAGCACAACGCACGCGGCAGTAACCTGAGGATAACATGGATGCATCCATACCTGCTAGACTCTGCCTCTCTCGTTGGGGTTCTTAGGTAAATATAGTATCTACTGGGCCAAATAAAGTACGAAAGAATGCGTGCGATCAGAACTTGGTGGTCACAGACACAAGAAACCGGTGTTTATGTTTGTACACTGCAGTTCGGAGGAAAAAGTGAAACGCTGGTCACCTGAATTTTTGTAGGTAGTAAAGAAATCAGGCAGAAAAGCACCTGAGAGAGCAACTGAACCACCCATACTTAAACATTTCTCTCAACTTTATGTGGGGTCACATTTTCGAACAGGTCTTAGCCTGTTCCCATCCACGGGGTGAAAACAAAAGCAGAGCTGGCTCCAGTCAAGCACATTTACAATATTAACCTGTGGTTACGCAACGTGAGAAAAGAGACCTTCAGTAACATAGGAAATGACAGAATCC